GAACTACTTGAAGTTGATACCAGCTAGGAAATGGAAAATTAGTTTCTTTTTAAATGGAGTATCACTGAGTATATTGTCCATACTCCCAGGCAGGTCCCTTGCCCAGGAATAGTTGGTCAACACAAAACAGAATCCATAGTGTGTGTATATACCTTTTGTATTTTTTTTTGTTTTCTTTTTTAGAGTGAGAACAAAATTGGTGCATAGAGAGAGGTGAGGAGGATCTGAGAGAGTTGAGAAGGGGTAAAAACATGATCAAGCAACATTGTATGGGAAAAAAGGCTAATAATGAATGAAAAAAATGGAAAAATGGAAATAAAGTCCATTTATGATAGCCTCAAAAAGCTGTGAAATACAGTGTAGATTTGTTTGCTTGCTTGTTTGTTGTTGCTGTTTTATACAGGACAGTATCTATTGGTAGGCAAATTCATTGAGAGGTGTATAGCGTTCACAGATCCAGGGACATCAGTAAGAGGTCAGTTCTTGCCAGGGTGGTGATGTCTGTGTCTGTCTGTCATCCCAGCACTCAGGAGATGGGGACAGAAGGACTGCAAGTTCTAGAAGAACCCATGTTACATGATGAGACTTGTCTCATATGCACAAAACATTCAGTTCTCCTCCCATGCAATCAACTGTACCTACTACAGCCCTAATGTTGTATTCTCCTGAACACCAAATTCCTGTATTGAAATGGCAATCCCCAGGAAATAGAATCAGGAAGAGAGGCCATAGGGACACACTTAGGCTTTGAGCAGAGCCCTTATGAGTGGGATTTGGACCTTATGAAAGAGGCCTTAGACTGGCTGCTTTGCCTCATGTACTGGAAAGAAGTAAGCCACTCCCAAATGTTAGGTGTGCCAGAGCCTTGATTGGAACTCCCAACCCAGAGAACTGGAAGCAGTCTATACGCTATCTAGTTGTGGCGTTTTTTTTTATTAAAGAAGCTGAATTATCAAAAACGTAGTTCAAATCAAAATATGTCTTAGAAACATTTTTTAGTGCATGAACTCTTGCACAGTGTGTGTGTGTGTGTGTGTGTGTGTGTGTGTGCACAAATGCTCATGTGCCACAGTGTGCTTATGGAGGCCAGAGAACAATTGGCAGTGTTATTTCTCTCCTTTTGCCAAGTGAGTCCAGGGGGTCCAATTCAGAGCCCCAGGCTTGGCAGCTGTTGAACCATTTTGCTCCAAGTTTTTAAGAACTCCATTTACAACAAACTTATTTTTTAAATGCACATGCATAAAATTTTTTAATACATTTTGATGCAGGGGCTATTACCCAGAGCCACACATATGCTAAGCATGCCCTCTATCTGTGTTATGCTACCTGTTCTCCATAATGTACACATACGGTTGAAAGGGCCAGTGAATCAAAGTCACCTTTAATAGAGGAAAAAATATGAAAAACTAATATTTACCTCATTTCAAGATTTACCATGTTAGCAAGGTAACAATATTGACATAAGAATAGGCATTATTCAGTGTTTCAGAATAGTAGTAGGAAGAGTCAGGGTCAATTGTAAAAAAAAAAAAAAAAAAAAAAAAAAAAAAAATTGCAGAGGTTGTTCTAAAGAGAAGTGTTTTGTTTTGTTTTCATTTTGAGAAGAGTCTCACTATGTTGGCCTGTAACTTCATATTTAGAACAGTCTTTGCTTGAACTGGCAGCAATCCACTTGCCTCTTCCTCTAGAGTACTGCAATTAAAGGCAGATGCCATGCCTGACTGAGAAATGCTTTTTAGTTTTTGAAACAAAAGCTATAGGATACATACTCTCTATGCTTACTCACTTCACAACAGAAGACCTCTCAAGATCAATTTGCAAGCCAGGCACTATGGTACATGCTAGAACCTCAGCACTGACTAGGCTGAGAATCACTGAGCTGCCCAAACTGGATTGTTACTGCTGTGCTAAGCACCATGCCCCAAAGCAGAAGGAGGATGAGGAGTAGGAAAAGAAAAGAGAAAGGAAGGAGTGTGGTCCTAGGTTTGTTTAGGAAGTTGATAACTTAAATATAAACCATAGAAAAGAAAGGAAGGCTGATTTGCTGTTTTGTTATTTTTTGTCAGGGTTATACTTTCTGACCATGATTATTGCATTACGGTTATTTAGGAGATCAGCCTGCCCTTGGGGAAAAAGCAACATAGCCTAGGAATTCTCAGAGGTCAGAGAGGGAACTTTAAATCAAGACAGAAGACATGAATAGAAGATAAAGCCAAGTAGAGGACACAAACGTGAAACGCTCTTGCAACTTTCCTGACAAATTTTAAGTTAAGATCTTTTAAGGGGAAAAAAAGAAACCTAGTATGGGACAGAGTAGTAACAATAAGAGCATAGGGTGCAGTAAGGAGAGCAGGCCCAGGCAGAGATAGCAGTGTGCGTGTATGCGTGTGTGCATGTGCGTGTGTGTGTGCGCGCGTGTGTGAAGTAGCAAAAATGTGACAAGACCTGAGAAGGCTGACAAAGGAAGCAAGCAGCCTTCAAGAAGCAAACAGCTTTCTTAGAGTGTAACTCCATTCAAATAATATGCATTGAGCAAATGGACAGAAGTCAATGGCTTTGGCAGCAAAAGTCAGAGTATACAGCCCTCCCCCCCCCCCCCCGGGATCTCTTCCTGAATGAGGTTAGAAAGTGGGCAGAGATGAGAAAGGACACACAAACGTCCCCCGTGCACCCCACCCCTACACTCCCATGCCACCATGGTGGAGCACTGTGGAGAGAGCAACCTGGAAACAGACACCTGCCTGTCTCAAGACACATATATACATACAAAGTCACAATACACAACAGAGTGCTTACAGCTCATGCATACACAACAACAGTGCCTGGAATAGACAAAGCAACAGTATGCTGGCTGAACGAGGTGTCATTATGAATTTAAAACACTCAAAATGGCCTGTGTGGTGGACCCTGTGGCAGAAGGATAGAACCAATTCTTTCAAGTTATCCTTTGACCTCCACGTTTCCTGGCAGTTGCCTCTAAACTTGGACTACAATACATCAAACGGTAGTTGGGTCTGAGGTCAGGGCCTAAGGATATAAACTGGGGGCTATTTCCATCAGAGACATTTCAGGCTGAAAACAAACAACGAAGTTTTGTTATCTTGCAGAGAGGTGCTAATGTGGGTGTTTGTTGTTATTAGGAGTTTTTTAATCTCCCAAAGTAAAAATCCTTGGAAGGATACCAAGGCTGGAAGAAGAGGAATCAAAGGATGGTGGCCTGCAGTAAAAGTGAGTTTTCACACACTGCAGTGTACATGTGCTAAGAGCTGGGTGTGACATCAGTTATAGAGAGAGCACTGCTTTACCCGAAACTATAATTTGGAAAGGGGAACACACAGCTGCAGCTGGTCTCAGGACACTATGGCACTCTCCTGATTCAGCGCAGGCCGTGACACAGAAAGCTTAGCAGTTTGGAAGAAATGCTGCCTGCAAGGGCAGACATGATAGCTGAATCCTGTTCGAAGGACAAATCACACTACTCAGGCAGTCTGTCTCCAGGTAAAACAACCAGGTGATGGCTTTTCTAATTATTCTCTCGCAATTATGCCAGTAATTGATCCATTAATGCTTAAGTGGCATCTCCAAATAGCTCAGTTTCCTTGTGCATCATGAAGTATTATTTACCCCACCATTAAGGAGGACAAGGTGGCCTAAAATCCCTCAGTAGAAAAGCTTGAAAAGTTAACATTTAAGCAAGCTGAGAGGAAAAGGATCCTGGGTAGGCGGTGGAAGAGGGGCCAAAAAAAAGGAGCCACTGTAAAACCCAGCTGTCCCCACACCCTAAATTCTAATCTAAAGGATGAGGCAAATTATGTCAAGAATTTCATAAACACAAAGCATCTCTTGATGGTTAAATTCATCCACCCCCCCTTTTTTTTAATTAGGAGAAAGTATTTCAGTTACTGTCATTCTACACCAAATTGTAGAAGAGTCTCAAGCACCTGGGGCAAGGAGGCAGGGAATGATACCTTTAACCCCATTATTGTCCTTTCTGATCATGTTGAAGCAGAAACGGCCAAGTCCTGAACTAAAAACCACCACACCAATTGCAGCTTCCTGCAGGAGAGCGCAGCTGGTAATGATGGACTTTGTACTGAGCACATTTTGGCTCAACTGCTGCAGCTACTGCTAAGTGTCACTGTGCAGTCAGAACTCAGGATACTCACCTCACATGATGCAGAGGTGGGAAGCACAGAGGGAGCAGGGGATAGGGGGGACACAGGGGACCTTCTGGGGCCATGACACTTCATCACATGTCCTTGTTGTGGACTTTCACACTATAATATCTTAGGGTGGGGGAGGTCTTCTTCCTGGGTCACAGTCTGGAGTTTTGAATAAATCTCTGGCACTGGAATGTTTGATTGCCATTTATCTCCAACTTTAAATGCCTCTTTAGCATAGAGTAGCAGTCCAGTGTTGTTGGCCTTTGGTGAAAACGGGGTGTGTGGCAAATGAGAGCGGCTGCCCTGACCATACTTAGCATCTTGTAGAAGCAGTCACTCACTGTGCGAGGCTTACATTGAACCAGACCTAACTGTGGCTTTGGAACTGAACACTGCTAACTCATACCACAAGCTCTGTAAATGTAAAAAAAAAAAAAAAAAAAAAAAAAAAAAAAAAAAAAAAAAGAAAGAAAGAAAAAGCCCCTAAAAATCATAAAATCCAGAGGGTGTGGCTGTTAGGGAACACCTGTTGGGAACTAGCTACCTTGCTGTCACTGGCATTTGACAACATTTTACTCTACACTGGCCACTGGGTTTTAGGACAGTGTTCATGTCTCTTTACATATAAACTCACACAATCATTTCTTTGAGATAAAGTCCATATTCTCTATAAAATGAAAATAATAAATAATAAAAAACCTCATAGGGATCAAGCTGTTTCGTTTATATGAGTGAAAACTGCTTCTGAAAAATTCATCCTGTCACTATAAGCATTCATCAAAATATTTGCAAGGTCCAACAAGACATCTCCATTAGTATGTGGGTTTATTGACATAGTTGAACGTAACAATGTATAACATTTATTCACTTCTCACTGAAAGACTTTTCAGTGAAACCATTTTAAATCCAGGCCTTAAACATTTTTGGTGATATTCTACAGTTGAAAAAGGCAGATTTTTTTTCTCCCAGACTTTCACTGGGCCTCAATTTTACACTGTCTACAAGAAACAGCTAAGAGATGCAACTGTGCTGTGCATGAAAATCTGTGAGTTATACAGAAGGTGCCAGATAGGCTGCAGGTTGAATATAAGAGTAAATATTTCTACCTCCCACCTCCCACGTACCATACGCTGGGAATCTAAAACAAGGCCTGGCAGCAAACACAGAATGACAGTCCATTTCCTGTGGTTTATTAAGTTTGGGCTGTGCAGCTAAGACTGCCAGAAAAGCAGCTGTGGCTTAAGTGGTCTGGACATTTACTCATCCGGACATAAACAAAGAGCAGCTCATTTAGACCCTTGGGCCCTCAGCTGCCAGCATAGGGCAGGCAGGGCTCACGTAGGCCAAACACAGAGTGATTGGGCTGACGGCCTCTGAACTGTGATGGATCCACTGAGCCATTGGGACCTTCAGGGGCCTGAGGCCTGAAACAGAGGAGTTACTGTTAGCCATAGCACCTTGAACTGGCTGACCTGCACAGTACCTCACTGCCAATAAATCCATAACCACGGTGACTGTAACCACAGTGTATGCCCTCTTAGTGAGTGGACTTGGACCACACAGGAATTACTACACCACTATAGTTAATATAAACACGGACCTCATAAATACCAGGGAAGAGAAGTATCCTAAATAGTTAAAAAAAAAAAAAAAAACAAACAAACAAAAACGCACACACAACTAAACAAATGCAGGAGACTAATCCTAAATTAAAAAAAAAAATAAGAAAGTAATATCGCAACTACTACTAAAAGGTAAGGTTTAATAACACAGCCAGTCACTGGCTACTGAAAGAACTAATTTGTAAAATATGTAATTATTTCACAGTGAGGGTTAAGTACTCATGATCTCCTGGATTTAGTAGAAGCAGATGCTGCTGTATATTTTTTTTCACATTTGTTTCCCATGGTTTCTTATCTTCTATTATAATGTGGTCAGAGATTACACTACAAGCACACATTCACCCATTGCTTTGTTTTGTGGATTTGGGATGGACTTGGAGCCTCACAAGCAACCCAGTCCCTAGCCTGACACTCACCTTAAGCATGTTGCCTAACTGTGCAACTCAGAAACAGGTACTGTCAAGAAGGGCGGGACACTGATGAAACGCAATGAGAAGTAGGTCACATTTACACCCATCTAGACATGCTATCAGAAATGTGGTAAATGAGCTGGAAGGCTGGAGTGTCCTGGGGAGTCATCAGTTTCATACATATTACATCCCTTTTTTTTAAAAATCAAATCTGGCATTCATTTTTTTCCATATATAGATTTTAAAAATAAAATTAAAACCACAGGTGCAAGTCTGGTGGAGAAGTATTGCATGCAGCCTTCTCCCGAGAACAATCTACCCAAAGGTCAGCAAGAGGTCACATCCTGTACAGGATAAACAGTAGAAGGGGTGCAGTCCAGTCAAAAGAGTCTTGGAGTCTATTGGTCAGTTTGTTAAACACTCTTCATATTGTTGGAAAAGGCAGCATCTCGTTGTTTAAACCTTAAGGCTTCATGGGTGCTCTACCAGCCAACAGAAAGGGGTTCCTGGGAGAATGTGGTACCTATGTACCATGCCCATCTCGCAGAGAACACCAGATTGGTAGGGGCGATTGTCTGACCCTTTTACAATGGTGGAAAGTGCCCCCTTTCCTTAACTGGGAATAGAACTCTGCCACAGAACAAATAAACGTACAACCCGGAGTCTTCTGGCCAAAGCACCCTTTCTAGCTCAAGGTCAGCCAGGTTACTGTGCTGCAAGGACACAGGATTCAAGCCCTAGGTATATCAAGGCTTTACCCCTACCATCCAATTGTCCCTGCTCTTGAGCTTGACAACCAAGACCCATCCTTGCTTTGTTAGTACTGGGACGTAAAGGGTGGTGTCCAGACTCACTTCCAGTACCACTTGGCTTCAGCAAACACACAAAAGGGAGAAAGAAGAGATGTTACAAAACAAGGTCTTCCTCTGAGATTCATGGGCCCAGGGAGAGGCTCCTCAAGGCCAGTGAGATGGTTTCCACACGGAGGCACTAAATCTAGTCAGCAAATCTTTGCAAGAGGTGATCCTCCCGCCTCAAGCTGCCACCAGCTCCACCACCAGTACTGTCCATGAAGCGGTCACAGGGAAACTCAATGAGGTCCGCCTCACTGAGGGCACACACGGTGGTGCGGGGCCGGTGCGACTGGAAGCCGGAGAAGTCCGCAGACACACCTGTTCCCATGGAGCGCAGTGGCCGTCGGGTGGAGTACATGTGACGAACGTGGACCGGGGCCCCTCCCTTCCGCCTGGCTCTCAGCTTCCTCCGCAGCCACCGAGATCCCCAGGTGGCCAGAGCCAGGATCACCAGCAGCGCGTTGACAGCCAGCAAGACCAAGGTCAGAAGCTGGTAGTCGACGCCGCCGCCTCGACCTCCTGCCTCTGGCAGGGTTACCAACCCTGCACAGTGGTCCCGGGGGGCCACGGGGCAAACCCGGCCCCCGAGCACGCCCTCCACGCACACTAGGTAAGGAGTGTCCCCGCGCAGCTCGTGCAGCGTGGCCGAGTCGCTGCGCTCGGGCAGGTAGACGAAGCGCTGGAACTTGGGCTGCTGGCCAAAGCGGTCGAAGAGCAGGCGGAAGCGTGCGCCGCCCTGCGGCCTGGGGCTGCGGTGCTCGCGAACCGCCCAGCGCACCGAGGCGCTGTTGGCGCTCACTGCCTCCACTGTCAGGTTGCACAGAATGAATTTGTTGAAGTCACAGGGGTCAGATACCAGCGGTGGCAAGCCCACTCCACCGTCGGGCAGGATTGCGCGCTCTCGCTGCTCCGAGGCTAGGCGCTGCCTTGCTGCGCGCTGCCAGCTGTCTCTGGCAGATGGTGTCCCGGAGGCGGGCTCAGGCGTCGGGGTGAGCTCCGCTGGAGCAAGATTGGCACGGGTGGGACGACCTCTCTCAAGCTTCCCGTGCAGGTCCAGGGACTGTGGGGCAGGGCCCGAAGCAGCAGCGGTAGAGGGACCCTGATGCTGCAGGCCTGGACCCCTCCGGCTCAATCTTAGTGAGCTGCGGTTGCCCACGAGCTCCTTGGCAGCCCCACCCCAGGCCACTCCTGATAGAAGTCTCCCCCGCTGCTGCGGTTGGGGCTGTGGTGGCAGCTCCTGCGTGAGACCCCCTGCAGGGGGCGTCATGCCCTCCCCCGTGGCTGTGGATAGAGGCCACTGCCTACTGCCTGCTGTAGGGGAAGGTGAGGGGTCCGCACAAGACCCATTCTGCAGCAATTGGTCATCCAGGTAATCCAGGTACTTGCCCCGCAGGGCCGGGGGGTGGCGACACTGCACGAAGACGGTGAGAAGGCGCCCCTGAGAATGCCAGTCGCCCATCCAACGCTTCAGACCCCGCAGTCGGCAGTCGCAAGTCCAACCGTTGCCGTCTAGATCTAGGTGGTAGAGAGCCGGGCTGGCAGCGAAGATGTCTCCAGAAAGGGCTCTGAGCGCGTTGTCGCGCAGGCTGAGCTCACGTAGCCGGCCCTGGTGGCCAAAGGTGGCAGGGTGCAGGGCAGAGAGCTCATTGCTGCTCAGATCTAGTGCCTCCAAGCTGTGCAGAGGCTCCAGCAGTGCCAGGGGAAGCTGGCTCAACCGGTTGCCTTCAAGGTGCAGCTCTCGCAGGGCCTCCAGGCCCCAAAAGGCCTCTGGCGCGATCTGTGTGAGCTGGTTGCCACTGAGGGAGAGCAGGCCCAGGCGTGGCAGGTGCTGGAAGACGCGGGGGCCTAGGTGCTGCAGGCTGTTAGAGGAGAGGATGAGAGTGGAGAGCGAGCGCAGAGGGATGAAGGTGGCCGCATGGCGCAGGGAGGGCTGCAGCTCGTTGGCAGAGAGGTTGAGGAATCGAAGCTTGCTGAGCTGGGTGAAGGCATTCTTGCCCAAAAAGCGGATCCGGTTAGACTCCAGATGTAGATAGAGCAGGTTGCCCAGGGGAGCGAAGACGGAGTCCGGCAGAGCCCCCAGCACGTTCCCGTCTAGCCGTAGCTTCACTAGACTCTCCAGGCCCTCGAAGGAGCCGCGGCTAAGGCGGCCAATCTCATTACCGTTGGCGTAAAGGATGCGCAACTTGCGCAGTGGAGCCAACGTGCCAGGAGCGAACGCCTGCAAGAGGTTGTTCCCCAGGTACAGTTCCTCCAGGCGTGAGAGTTTCTCGAAGGTCTTAGGGTGGAGGGAGCGGATCTGGTTGTATTGCAAGTCCAGCCTTCTGAGCTGCCCCAGGCGGTGGAAGTCGAAGGCGGTGATGTTGGTGATGAAGTTGCCGCCTAGGCTGTAGGTGAGCACGTCCTGGGGACTAGGCAGCGAGCTGGTCTTGGGCACCGCGCGGAGCCCCCGGTTGGTGCACAGGAGGTGCTGGGGGTGCTGGCAGTCGCAGCGCTCGGGGCACACGGACTGGGCCGCCCGGGGCGGGAACGCCAGGCAGCCGCACACCATGAGCCAAAAGCGCACGGCGCCGACACCCTCCATCGCCGCCCGCCCAGCGCGCTGCGGCCGGATCGTCCTCTGGGCCGGCCGGCTCTGTGTCTCCTCTGCATTCCCCTCGTCCGGGCCAGAGTCGCTAAAAGGCCTCTTTCGGACTTCTCTGCTGCTCGGTCCAGCCCTTCCTCTGCCCTTTGTCCCGGTGGCCGGTCCGGGTCTCTGCAGGCGGGCTTCGCGGAGCCAAATCAGGAGGCACTGGGCGCTCGACGAACCCCGGGTGCTACTTGTTGCATTTCTGCACAAAACTGTTTCTTCGGATGCGCGTCGGGGGCGGGAGGAGCGAGCAAGAGTTGGTGCTTTTTGTTTGCTCTCGAGTCCGGAGAGCTGGATTCCCTGGCGCGGATTCTCCCCGCCAAGCGGATTCCCCTTCTGCAGGCGGGATCCCTTCCAAGAGCTGCTGGGGTGCGGTTTGGCTGCGGAGCACTGGCCGCTAGGCCTGCGTCTCCGGCGCCTGCTCGCTTACGGCCCGGAGGGATTCGGAGCACAGCCGGGGTGGGCAGCCTGGGGGCCGCGCAGGCTGCGTCCGGAAGGGACCCGTGTCTGCGAGGAGCGAGCAAACCCGGCGGAAATTCGTTCTTCCCACACTCTGCCCCCCGGGGGATGCAGGCGGAGAAAGAGGAGACGACGGAGGCAGGACAGACCCCGGCTGGGGGAGGAGGAAACACTAAGTGGCTCCGCGTCTGGTCAGCCCCAGCCCGGACGCCAAGTGAGAAAAGTAGGGATTAAAAACAGCTGTACGGGTCGGCGTGCGGGCTGGGGGCGGGGGTGGATTACCGGGCGAGCAAACGGGGATTGCAGACAGAGACCTTTTTATGTTAGGCCAGTTTGCCGGCGGTTTCGGAACAGAGGGAGCGAGCCTCGTCTTACCCATTTCACCTACTGTGCCCAGTGGCACCCTGCAAGAGGTTGAGGCAGCACCGACTCCCCAAGCATTCTGCTCCAAGTCTGGGGGAACCTAAGGTTGCCTGCAGAAGGCCTTTGGTGGACTGCTGTCAGAAGATGCCAGCCCAGTCCTTTGAAAGTGTTTGAGTTTCTGATGTCCTTTTGCTAGAGTCAAAGGAGAGGCACCGCCCCTTTTAGGTTTCTAAACTGAGTATCCGCGGGATCCGGCTCTGGGAAAGACCATGAAGAAAGTTCCTAAGTGGGACGCTACAGTGATTGTGTCAGGGCCAGATTTGGTGATTCAGTGCGATTCTTCAGCACTGAAAGCCCTTGCAGTAGGCCCCGGACGTGTGCCTGTGTACAATGACCTGCACGGCTCCCTGGGAAATTGCTTCCTGAAGGGCCATGCTGCTTTGTTCCTGAGCTTGCAGCAGAGATCTTGAAAGTTTTCGGGCTCCAGTGTGCTCAGGCCTGGATTCCTTGAGGGAAAATATTAACATTTATTAACAACACAGGGCATTTTATTGACGGCCCCTTTAAGGGCAGTCCCTGAAAATAAAAACAAGCAAGGGATAGCTGCTGTTGCTTGCTATTTGTTTATACAAACCAACTTTTTGAAAACGGCCCTTCCCTCAAGGTGTTCAGAAACCGAACATTTTAAGAATTTGCTGTCACTGCTAGCACTGTGGAAAATGCAGGTACATGCCCTCACTTCAGGAGGCTGACCGTCCAGTGGGGAGGGATATGGAGTGATGGGTCAAACACGAAAATGAGCTAGTGAGAGGAGAAATCTGCAAAGACTCAATGACTTCAGTAACTCCAGCGTTGCATTGTCTTGCTGGGCAGTTTGTCAAGGGGCGTGATGGAGACAAGGGCTGAACCTGGTGGGGTGCTACGTGAAGACTTAAAGGTCCAGCAGTGACCCTGACCTATCAGCAAGATGGGTATGCAAGGAAGAAAGGGTAAGTTGCTAGCGAAGGATATCCAGTTTACTGTGATTTGCTTTGAGTTTCAAATAAAAGACAAACTTGAGACACAAGTGTCTGTTTTACTAAAATGAAATATGAAGTCTATTTTTCGGGTATTGTGACAACACTAAACTCCTTTAATGACCTTGGCTGAAGATACTGTCCTTGCCAGGAACAGGGATCATATGGAGTTTTCAGAGGAAACAATACCAGAACGCTGCTGACTTTTAGGTTGAAGCACCCCCAGAGACGCCTGGGATGGATCTGCTTCAAAGTACCTGCCTCCTACAGCATCTAAGTATGGAACCATTAGAAGCTGAGAGACATCTGCTGGAGAACAGGGAATGGCAGAAACCAAATCTCAGTGCTTTTCATGAACCTATTTCTTCTCTGGACCTTCTGCAGAAAATCACAGAGCAAAGGTAACAGTCTCTTGATATGGCCACTTAACCTTTCTTACAGATGCCTCTAAGTAAGACTGAAACAGTTATCCAATATCTGGAGGGAGTACACACACACACACACACACACACACACACACACACTGACATAGTGTCAAATATCTCCACTAGTAGCCGGGATTGCCAATGAAAAGACATCACCCAGAACTTTGTGTTAAAAGACAATTGCTCTTCTATCCCATTCCATTTCATTGAAACACTCCATCTGCTACATATATAGTTAACACAATGGACATAATGTAACATATCCCAAGAGGCTTCAGGTGTGCAGATTATAAGGAAGAGGAGGGTAGGAGAGGCTGGCTCTTGGGTTGTGGTCAGAGCATCAGAAGGGCAGAGACTGTATCTTTAGGAGCAGGAAGACCATGGTGGTTATTTACTGTTATTTGTGTAAGTGCTTCCCTAATAAGTACCTGTTTACCATTTATCTTGGGTGTTGTGAACTCATTTAAACCTTGCCTTCAAGTAGGTACAGTTACTGATGGTAGATGTTGCTGGCATCCTCAATCCAGTTTCAGCAAGGAAGCCTGTAGATGGAGTCATTCTGCCCTGCCTGTCAGTTCCCGAAGCTTATGAAATAACACTCTGAGCTTGATTGTTTGGCCAATAGCTCAGACATATTACTGGGTAGCTCTCTCTTTAAGTTAACCCATATCTATCAATCTGTGCATTGCCATGAGGGTGTGGCTTACTGGTAATGCTCCAGTACGGTGTCTCTCTGATTAGGCTTTCTCTCTGTATCTTTGCTTGGAATTCCCACCTGGCTCTATTTTGCCTGTCCATTGGTCAAAACAGATTTATTTATCAACCAATAAAAGCAACACATATTCTCAGCATACAGAAGGAAATCCCATGTCAGAATACTATTTTGAAATCTGCAGATAAAGGGGTAACACATAACATTCAGGTTCCTTCTAAACAATGAGTGCCAGCATGCAACCTAAGATGGACTTTACAAGTGAACAACGTTTAGATAATTCGGAGTAAACTGATAAGGTATTTCTGTAATACAATGTGCTCATGTGTTTGGTTTATTTTCTGATAGCATTTCTCTTTCAGGAACAATAGTGGTGGTATTTTATTTGAATTTGATTCACAACCACCATACACACCTCCATAGCAAAGAGCTGTAACAACTCTGAAACTACACTTGCTCGGAGAACTGCTGAATTACTCCAAATCATTTAAGCATTATTCACCTGAAAAGTTGACCTCAGGCTGCATGCTTTTCAAGCAATAGGTGCTGGGGAAGTTGCTGATCAGGCAGCCTTGATGGTACCAAGTGATGAGACTGACAGGTAGAACTGTGACAACTCCGGCAGAGGGTCCTAGGATGCTCCAGGAAGACTGTGCTGGGCTTCAGAGCTGAGGGTATTACATACGTGAAGGTGAGCTGCTAATATTGGAGGGGAAGCCTGAAAAGATACGCAAAACATGAATTCAGGAAACTTCAACTCTACCTGCATCCTAGGGGTGAGATGTATGGGCTCACTCTTCAGCAACACCACATAACACTGACTCACAGGATGTTTTTGAAGCAGTTGCTCCTTTTGTCTCCTTGAAAGATTGTACCAGGCAGTAGACATCATGCTATACTGTGCAGCAAGAGAAATCTCCGCCTAATAAAATAAAGCAGAAAATGCCTAACTAGTTATCTTCTTCTAGGTCCTCAGTTTTGGTGTTATGATTGGCAAGTATGGATCAAACATTGGACCAGGATATTTGCTTGTGCAACGTACACTTGGACATTGGTGAAACTATACAATCAGCATCACTCATGGAGTAGGGAAAAATAATGGGTGCCTTCCCTACATCCCATGACTTTGAGGGCCATGTCTCAGCTTTCCTTTGATGGTGCCCTCCCCCACCCCAACTAAGAGCAGAATTTCAGGTCTCCACAGGGATGAGTTGAGTTTTTCATAGGCTGTGGTATTCCTGCTCAGGGTTCCTGGGACCCGGATTTCCCTGTCCTTTTTTTTTTTTTTTTTGTCTGTTCCTTTGTCAAGCATATCAGGCCACATGGGGTATAGTCTAGATAGCCAAGGGATGTTCAAGAGACAGATGTAGGAATCTTGAAACAGGGCTGGTATTTTTTCAGTGGGTTATACCCAAGAAAACGCAGGAAACACGGGATGAGAGCTGCAAAGGGGAACTGGGCACCTGGGGCCTCCTTTATCACTAATTCCAGACTCTGACTATTGTAGCACCTAGGGAATGGGAAGTAGGGAGAAAGTACATGTTGGATCGAGAAAGAACAAGGGGGGAAATTATAGGAGACTGAAGGAAATGTAAATTCTCTCTCTTTCTCTCTTCTATCCCCCCCCTCTCGTGTGTGTGTGTGTGTGTGTGTGTGTGTGTGTGTGTGTGTGTCTAATATAGTGTTAGGCCCAAGTTTCTAGGAAAAGTCTTTAGAAAAGGCAAAGGCATGGCTGTCTCCATCCAAATAATTTTCTCTTAACTATAAAGGTTTTGTTAATGGATAGATTCCAGCTTGATCAGGTTCTGGGAGAGTCAAGTATCAATTATGTTTAATTGACAAGATCACAGCTGGAAATGCTGGAAGGAATGCTACTCAGCAGGGGACCTGAGCTCTGTGCACTTTGAAAGCAAAGGACACAGGCAGACAAGTTGGGGCAGGTTCCATGGCACACGTGTGTGTGTGTGTGTGTGTGCTACAAGGATCCTCACATGCTCTTGCCATAGCATGGAATCTTCCTGAGTTTGCCAAGGATATGCACAGGTGTTTCCCCAGAAACCTGTGGCCCCCACTGAACTTTCCATATAAACGTATGAAGGAGTCCGGCTGGCTGTGTCTTCAGCAACTCCTGGAGCTTGTCTGGCTGAGTTGGCTGAGGCACAGTTAGGGTACAGGATGGGTTAAGGAGAGTGTTCTGAATAAGTCTCCTCTGGCAAGGGGTTGAGGGTGGGGGTGGGGAGATCAGGAGATGGAGTCAGCCAAGCCTGCTGGAGCAGTGCCCTGGATTTTACCCAGGGCAGGCAGCAGAGCCGGCAGCCAGCTGTTTCCTCACCATGTGTGAGCCAACCCCAGATAGACAGTGTGGCCCCTGACACAGACACAGTAGGAAACCAGAGAGTTCCCTGTGGTCCCTTACCGTTTTATCTAATGCCCTCCCCAAAGCCGTCTTTCACCCCCAAAATGAGCTTCCTCTGATTCCCCAGTCTGAAAAACATTTTTTTTTTTAAATCCTGGAGGGGTGGTCTGGCATGTGAATAAGGGAGCCACTGGTTTAGAGAACATCTGCCAATATGCCCTTTTCCCCTTTGGGACATAACAGCAGTGCAGGTATCTGGCTAGAGACCAGAATATCTGGGTGACAAAGTCCCAGTGTATGTTTATGAGCTCACCAGATGATTTTTTAAATACACACCCCAGGTTGAGGACAGACAATACTTTAAATCACTTCCTTATGGCTGATATGCTGATCACGAAAACTGAAGATCAGTCATTTAAAGTGCTTGCGACCACACGTGTTTCAGATCTTAGAGATTATGTGTGTAT